TAGCATGTCTCAGTGAGGAGCCACGCCAAACAGAGATGGCTGGCCCGCCCTCACTAAGCCGGCCGTCTCCGCCCCCACCCGAGAAAATGGAGGCAGCTTTGTTGTGGGTGCCTAGCCTGGTGTGGTGGGCGGGGGCCAGGCGGGCGGGGAGCAGTTGGGCTTCGCCCTGCAATTGGGGCTGGGCTGGGGGTGACTCACAGAAGTCGCAGAGTTGGGGCAGTCTGGCGCGCTTCACTCCGCCTCTGCGCAGTCCATTGCTGGCTTTCCTGGCCTTTGTTGTCTGGGCTGATCGCTCGTTCCCGCAGCCGGGCTTGGGCGCTCTCAGGAGTCCTCCTCTGTGTCGGCCCCAAAACCTCGAACCTGCTGCCGCTTGTTTGTCGATGTGGGATCGTTGTTGAAAGAATTATTCGCCTTTTGTTGCTCTTGGAAATGCAATCAATACTCTGGTATCACAGCGCACAGCTCACAGGATCGCGCTGTCTCCTGTCACGGCCGCTCCAGACCCATCGCCATCTTAGAACCCTCCCCTCTTCTTTTCTTTATCTCTGCTGGTGACTCTCCTTGTGTCAATGCACTCCAGTAGGTGGTGGACCATCTTAGTGGTGGTTGTGGCATCTGGCTGCTTTCACGGCAGCCATGGTTATTGTGGTGGCTATGGTAGGCCACCCACATGGAGGTGATGTTTTTGGCATGCTCCTTGGTGCTGTTGGTATGCCTGGTTGTGGGGTGTGTGTGGTCCCCGGCTCCATGCCTCCAGTCACCAGGTGGGCTCTGAGGCACTAGTGAGGTGTGCTTGGCTATGGGAGGGGGGTTCGGTCCCTAGTCCATGCCTCAGGTCACCGGGTAGGCCCCAAGGTGCTGGCATGGTGTGCCTGGTTGTGGGAGGGCTGTCTGGTCCCCTTCTCCATGCCTTGGGTCCCTAGGTGGACCCTGATGGGCTGGTGCAGTATGCCTGGATGTGGGAGTTGGGTCCAGTACCCAACTCCAAGCCTCTGGTTCCCAGGCAGGCCCCAAGGTGCTGGTGGTGTGCCTGGGCCGGAACTAATTTTTTGTCCTTTCCTTACTAATAAAAGGGGGGAACTTCCTGTGGGAACCAGTACTTGAGCTGTGTGGTTGAGCTAAATTACTGCTTTGCTGCTGTTTCCCTAGGGAGGGCCTTTTATGCAGCTCAGGGTTTAATGGTTGACCTTACAGGTACTTCCAGCTCTCTAGAGACCCAGTGGATCTGGGTTTTGTAGAAACTCTGATCTGGGACTGAGTTTTTTCATCAAACTGTACCCCATGCAATTCTTCATTCCTGACCAGACTCCTCTGAGTGGTCCTGCACTGATTGGGGGGCAGATCGGCTGTCCTTGCTGTGTCCCAGTGTTCTCCTGGTGGGCCTGTCTCCCCCACCGCCCATACTCCAAACACTTCCCATGGGATGGGCCCTGTGCCAGTCCCTTGCAACGACTCACCACCCTCTGAATGGCTCCCATTTTTCATTTGTTCTAGCTCCTCACTCCTACGTGGGTCCATGGGAACCCTATTAGTGTTCCTGCTGTCCCGGGGACCACCAAGGCCCTCTTTTCCCCTGTTGCCTCCAAGTATTTCCATCTGAAGGACACAGCTGCAGCTTCTGCTGACTCCTGCTCCATGCTCTCAGTAGTTCCAGGTTAAAGCAGCCATGGCCCAAAACCCACAGAGCAGTTTTTTCTTTCTCTCATCATGGTTTCTCTAGCCTTCATGAACTCTGTATGTCTGTCCTCCTCTTCCCCTGAGCTCCAGCAGCCCCAGCTTGGCTGTTGTTACATTTTTATAGTTGTAAATTGGTTGATTTGTGGGAGAGTGACACTGGGAACTGTCTATTCCACCATCTTGTCCAGAACTCAGTGTTTTTTTTTTTCTTTTTAATACTCTGGTTAGCTCATGGATAAATGTATAACTTTTTCTTCTTTTTGCTTTTCTTTATTTTATTGTTTTACTAAGGCTTATTTTGTTTTTGTCTGGCTTCCTGAATGGAATGCTGCCTATTTTAATTATTTCTGACTTCTTAATAAAAGCTCCAAAGATATGTATTTTCTTCTAAGTATAGTTCTGACTATATCCATTAGTTTTGAAAGATAGTGTTATAGCTCCCTTGATTTTTCTTGGTAATCTGCAGTTGCAGTGTTTATTTCCTTTTTGAGCCTGTTTTTTTTCTTCTTTAGAATAGTGCTTATCAGTTTTTTCAAATACTTTTCTTTAGTTTGGTTTATCCTTTTATTGCCAATTTCTAGATTTATTATACTGTGTATAGAGAATGTGACTAGAATGATAATTTCTGCTAACTTAAAGTTAATGAGATTTTCTTCATGGTTTCAGATATAATAAGTTTTTATAATTGATTCACTGTATCTTGTAGAGGATATAGTTCTTCAAAGATCATTATATGAATTTTGGCTTAATTATATAATTTCTGTGCTAATTTATTTTTTCTGCTTAATCTATCAAAGTCTAAGAGCAGTGTGGTAAACACCCACAATCATTGTGTAGTCAATTTCTCCTGGCATTTCATCACTCCTGCTGTCCCACCCTAACCTCCCTGCCCAATACAATTTTTTTAAACTAATGTTTATGGTATGTGTGTATGTGTAGGTATTTGTATATATGTGTCTGTTTATGTATGTATATAATCAACCCTTTTCTCCTATTCTTACTCTCCAGGAGTAACAACTATAAGTCATTTAGAGTATATCCTTCTAGTTCCTTTTTTGTTTTTTACTTTTATTAAGTTTTTCACTGTCCTTTTTTAAAAAAAAATGTTATATGAGTAATACATGAATTCATACATGAAATATGTTTTTAATGGGTGTGGGTTTTATATTTTTGCTATATGAATAGGTCATGCTAGACACATTGCTCTGCAACTTGCTCTCTTCTCTTAAGAGTAAGTCTTAGTATTTTTCCATATAAGTATAGATTTGCCACATTCTTTTAAACTGCTGCATAATATTTTATTATATGAATATAGTCTTTATTTAGTTAATTAATGCCTTTGGACCTTATTTGTTAATTTCCCCTCAAGTAAGATGAGATAAATTGCATATTTTTAGTTCATTTATTCTTCTGTTTTTAGTTAAAGCAATCTAGGCTTATAGATCAGATTATTTTTGTTTAATACATTATCTTCCCTATGATTATTTTTGACATTTCTAGATGTGGGCCTGCTTTCTGTAATTTTGTCTGGTGTATTATGAGTCCTTTCAGTCTTTCTTTGGCCCAGAGAAATTTTTGTTATTTCTTTTTTTTAAAAAAAATATTTTATTTATTGAATCAAAATCGATTATATATATTTTGGGGGTTGAACATTGAGATATGTTGATCAAAACAGTATCACCAGCATATACATTACCACAAATTGTAATTGTTCTTCATGCCCCTTGTCCAACCTCTCCCCTTCCCCCATTCCCTCCCCTCCCCCCTCTAATTGCCCTAGATTTCTTCTCTCCCTCTGAAAGAACAATGGTTACCCTGTTAACTTGTCGCCCAGATGATCTGTCCAATGCTGAGAGATGTGACCACTCTGAAATGGGTTCTGTGCAAAGAGACACCTTCCTCCTTTCTCTGTCTCCGCTGGTGACTCTTCCTGTGCAAATGCACTCCAGTGGTTGGCAGACCATCCGCACAGTGGCCGTGGTGTCTAGCCACTTTTGCAGCAGCCATGGTTATTGTGGTGGCTGTGGTGGGCCACCCACGTGGAGGTGCTGTTTTTGGCATGCTCCTTGGCACTGGCGGTATGCCCGGTTGTGGGGTGTGTTTGGTCCCCTTCTCCATGCCTCTGGTCCCTGGGCAGGCCCCGAGGTGCTGGCGCCATGTGCCTGCTTGTGGGAGGGTGGTCTGGTCCCTGACTCCATACCCCGGGTCCCTGGGTGGGCCCAAAGGCACTGGCTCAGTGTGCCTGGTTGTGGGAGGATGATCCAGTCCCCTTCTCCATGCCCTGAGTCATTGGGTGGGGCCTCAAGGTGCTGGCACAGTGTGCCTGGTTGTGGAAGAGAGGTTCAATCCCCTTCTCCATGCCTCAGGTCCCTGGGTGGGCCCTGAAGTGCTGGCTCAGTGTGCCTAGTTGTGGGAGAGAGGTCCATTTCCCTTCTCCTTGCCTCGGGCTCTGGGCAGGCCTCAAGGTGCTGGTATGTTGTACCTGGTTGTGGGAAGGGGGCCCAGTCTCCTTCTCCTTGCCCCAGGTCCCTGGGTGGGCTCTGAGGTGCTGGCATGTTGTGCCTGGTTGGGGGAGGGCAGTCTGGTCCCCAACTCCATACCCCAGATCCCTGGGTGAGCCCCAAGGCGCTGGCTCAGTGTGCTTGGTTGTGGCAGAGAGGTCCAGTCCCCTTCTCCTTGCCTCAGGTCCCCGGGCAGGCCCCAAGGTGCTGACATGGTGTGCCTAGTTGTGGGAGGGAGGTCCATTCACCTTCTCCATGCTTCAGGTCCCCAGGCTAGCCCTGAGGTACTGGTGCAGTTTGCCTCGAAGTGGGAGGGGGGTCCGGTCCCCAGATCGAAGCCTCCAGTTCCCAGGCAGGCCCCAAGGTGCTGGTGGTGTGCCTGGGCCAGAACCAATTTTTTGCCCTTTGCTTCTAACACAGGGGAACATCCTGTGGGAACCAGTACTTGAGCTGTGTGGTTGTCTAAATTGCTACTTTGCTGTCATTTCCCTAGGGAAGGCTTTTTGTGCTGCTCAGGGTTTAATGGTTGACCTTATATTTACTTCCGGCTCTTCAGAGACCTGGTGGATTTGTGTTCTGTAGAATCTCTGATCTGGGCCTGAGTTTTTTCATCAAACTGCACCCTATGCAATTCTGCATTCCTGACCAGTCTCCTCTGAGTGGTCCTGTGCTGATTGCGGGGCAGATCAGCTGTCCTTGCTGTGTCTCAGTGTTCCCCTAGTGGGCATGTCTCCCCCACCGCTCATGCTCCAAACACTTCCCACGGGATGGGCCCTGCACCGGTCCCTTGCAATGACTCACTGACCTCTGAATGGCTCCCCTTTTTCAGCTGTTCTGGCTCCTCACTCCTGCGTGGGTTCACGTTAACCCTATTAGTGGTCTTGCTGTCCTGGGGGCTGCCAAGGCCCTCTTCTCTCTTGCTACCTCCAAGCAACTCCATCTGAAGGGCACAGCTGAGGCTTCTGCTGGCTCTTGCTCCATGCACTCAGCAGCTCAAGCCTTAAAGCAGCCACAGCCTGAAATGCTCAGACCAGTTTTTTCTTTCTCTCATCATAGTCTCCCCTACCCTCATGAACTCTGTAGGTCTCTCCTCCTCTTCCCCCAAGCTCCAGCGGCCCTGGCCTGGCTGATGCTACATCTTTATAGTTGTAAATTTGGTTGATTTGTGGGAGAGAGTGATGCTGCGGACCGTCTATTCCACCATCTTGAAATTTTTGTTATTTCTTCGATATTATTACCCTTCTGCCTTTTCTCTTTGTGTGTGTGTGTGTGTGTGTGTATCTCTACACACATGTCTCTCAAGTTTTTGTTCATTATCTTCAACTTTCTTTTTGCTTATCAGTTCTGGGAGAATTTCTTAAAGTAGCTTTTGGAATAATTGATTTGGTTATTGGCAGTATCTAACATGCTGTTCACTGCCTCTATTACATATATTTTAATTAAGTAATTTATTTTTCATAAGAAATTAGTCTTTCTGGATCCCAGAGTGTTTTTTTCATAGATTCGATATCCTTGCAGATCTTGTTGAGAGTATACTTTTAAAAAGTTTATTCCAGTTCCTTGGAATAAAAAGGTTTCATAGACACTTGCTGTGATTCCTCAGAATGTTTCTCCTTTATAAATTACTTATTCTTTTTCCTATATCTGGTTCATTTTCTCTGCTCATCTTTATAGACGATGGTCTTTGAGGTTTGGAATTTGAAATGGGTTTTGCCAGATCTGTCTCCTAGTTCAAGACTAAGAATAATCTTTATATATTCTATAGTTTTGATTTATTTATCACTTCCCTTTTGTTCTTACCCATCTCCAGATAAGAATAATTCTTTATGAAGAATTGGAAGAGCATTGTAGCCAGAGGCAGTCAAGAGGGAGCGTGAAGGAGACTCTCCCTACTGTGTTAAGGGGCTTCTTGTCCACATTTCTTGTAGCTGCTAGTGTTGTAGCACTGCTAGTCTTCTCAAACTGGCAAATATGGAGCCTGATGCTGAGGGGACTGAAACCCATATCATGTGAAAAATACTTACAGGAAGTCAAGTTATTTGGTCTAGAGTGGGGAAGATTTATAGGAAATATAATAACTGTCTTCAGTAGCTGAAAGGCTTTCACAAGAAGGATTAGACTTGTTCCATGTAGTTCCAAGTGGTGGAATTATGTTAGAAGCGTATCGTCTTACATTCAAGGAAAGAAGATTTCTGTGACTGACACAACTGCTGACTTAAGTATTTATTGACTCCAGATTTCAACCATTCATTCAGATATTATCCACACATTTAGATGTTACCATTTGATACCAACATGCACGCATGGATGGCCAAGTGTCTATGTGAGGTACTAGAAGGAGACTAAACAAGCACTGGTTGTGTCATTTGCTCAAAGAGGCATTATCCTCAGAGAACTGCCTTCCGTTCCTACCTTCTTTCATTTTATTCTTTTAAATTGCCTGACTTCAGTTTCTTAATACTTAAGGTGGTAGTCATCACCTTTCATCTGCATGAGCTCTTCCCATCCCTTTCTTATGATATTCCTTTGGACAGTGTGGTAGGCAGAATAAAATGTCCACATCCTAATCCCTAGAACCTATGAATATATTACCTTACATGGTAAAGGGGAACTAAGGTAGCATATGGAATTAAGGTTACTGATCAGTTGAATTTAAGATAAGGCAATCATCCTAGGTTATCTGAGTGGGCCAAATATAAATGCAAGGGTCCTTAAATGTGGAAGAGGGAGGCAGAGGGTGATATAATGTGAGAAAGACTTGGTTGGCTACTGTTGGCTTTGAAGGTGGAAGGGGCCACAAACTGAGAAATGTGGGCTGCCTCTAGAAGCTAGAAAAAGCAAGAAATGGGTTCTTTACTAGAACCTCCAGAAAGGAATACAGCCCTGTGGACACCTTGATTTTTAGCTCAGTGAGACCCCTTTTGGACTTCTGACCTCCAGATCTGTAAGATAATGAACTTATGTTGTTTTAAGCCACTAAATTTGTGATAATTTATTACAACAGCAATAGGAAGCTAATACAAATAGATTTCTGAGAAGATCGAAGTTCATATTCCAGAAACAGTAAGAATTGTTTCTTGGTATTTCTGTTATTCAGAAACTTAACGTGTGTATTGCTGAACTGTTGTATTTAACCATCTTTTGATAATCATTTGGTCATGCAAATATATATTTCTCCAGTGCTTCTCATTGGCTTACATTTTTAGTCATCTAGGTTCCAGTCAATAAGAGTAATCTGTACAAAAAGAGGCCCACAGTAAAGAACTACTCCCTTTTTCAGGAGAAACTACAGTCCTACAAAAGCACAGTGGCTATAGGATGGAATTTCATGACAGCCACACAGATGGCCTGATAAAGAGGTGGCCCCTCTAAAATGGAGTGCAGTGTATGTACAGGAGCCAGTGCACACATCATTGCCTGAGAATGACCCTCCCGTCTCAGGATGTGACCCCCACAACCATGTGACTATCAAGTGGTCTGAATGTCTTGGATTCTAAGGGGGACTCCAGATTCAGAGCAGAGATTTGCTGATATCTTTACTGCGAATTACACTAGGGGACCCTGTGGGGTGAGGCAGTTGATGAGTTTGGTTTTGGATGGTGGGATAAAAGAGCTTGAAATTGGAGATTCCAATTGTTGTGCATGGGGACATGACCATGTGAGGAGCTGGCAGGTGGGAAGTTTGTCACTAATGTTGCTCCCAGTGCTGGACACATTTGCCAGGCTTTTGTCCTTCTGAGTTTCTGCCATGATCATCAAGATGCTCATTCCCCCAAAATTGCCTCATTTTTTTCATGATGAAATTTTTTAATGTATATATGTCTATATTAATACTCTAACAGTACCATGTGGAAAATAAGGAAGAGACAAGGATTCAGAAGTTAAAAAAAAAAAAAAAGCCCAATGAAGTGAAGTTTACAAGGAGGGTGATTCCACTCAATATAATTGTGCTTTCTTTCACTGAGTTAAGCCTAATTCTGAATGGGGAACCTTGTGTGACTATCTTTCACAGAAAGAATTTTCTGTCAAAACTATTCAAAGAGAGACTGGGTGGTATTAGGTTTGTGTGGCAGGAACTAAACAACTTTTTGGTGGAAATATTAGAGTATTCATGCATCAAATTTCATCATTCTTGAATCTTAAAAACCTGAGGGGTTATGAGGAAGAAGGATCACTGAGGATTAGGTAGGACCCCTGTGTACAGCTGGTCAAATTGTGACTGCACAAGGCCTGCAGTCAAGGCAAAAGTAGCCAGTGGAATCCATTTTGTTTGTCAAGCTATACATTCTGGCTGTGGGACTGATGTGCCATGTGGCAGGGGCATCGTTTGTAATTTATATAAAGGTATTGTCTACTTGATAAGACATGTGCTTGCAGAGCTGTATTCACCTAACAAAGGCACTGTCTTTCTTATTTGCACAAAGGTGCCAAATGAGCCATCACAAGCCCTGAGAGTAGGGCTACAGGAGTTGTTTGTTCAAGCTGGTGAAGGCAAGACAAGGATAAATAAGAAGAAGGAAGAGGGTTAATCTTACTGTGTCTTCTTCAGTCCCTCAGCTTACTCCCAAATGGTGCTATTGGTACTTGCTCCTTATTGATAGTATTTTAATAGTATATCTAGTTGGGATGATAAATTAAGAAATAAACTAAAACAAATCTCCATATTTCAGAGCTAAATAAATATGATCTCTTTTGGGAGTTCACTGTACAAGTTAATAGCAAATGGAGAAAGCAAGCATCTAAATATTGGAGATCAAGCGGAGAGGGTATGTCCACTCAAGGTGCTCAGATGGCAGAGCATCACTTTCTGGTTTGTAAGACTTGTCATGTACCCAAATGTGTAAGGATAGATAATGCCAGGGTTATCAAAGGCATGGGAGATATATGCAGGCACTTAGCTGAAGCGGTTTTCACATTCCTAGCAGGGTCCCAGCTGGTCAGGTATGGGAGCTCCACAGTCCTTGATGCTGCAGACAGTTCAGGTAGCTAGATCTATCTGGAGGTGGCTGTGGAGCTGAAAAATATGCATATTTCTGCCTTGTTTGTGTATTTCTCCAGATGAGCTTTGAGATGAGTCATGAGACCCTGTACTTGGCAGTGAAGCTGGTGGATCACTACCTAATGGAGGTAGTATGCAAGAAAGATCAGCTACAACTTCTTGGTTCCACTGCCTTTCTGATTGCAGCAAAATTTGAGGTGAGCCTAAGTCCTAGAGAGAATTTCTAATCAGATTTCTGCTAGACCAGTAAGTGAATATATAAAAATATATATACATACATATATAAACACATACATATATAAACACATTTGTGTATATGTGTGACTATATGTGTATACAGTTATATACATATGTATATACATACAAATAATTTTTTCCTACCAGATTTTTTGCCTGTCTTCCAAAAGCAGGGAAGCTGGTGTTGGTTGGTCATGGTGGTGTATTTGTTTCCTGGTACCAGCAAGGTTCTTCCATTTCTTCTTTGAAGATGTATATATGTGGACATGTGCCTAATTAAATGAGTAGTTGTTTTGAAAGCTTCCTTCTGGTCCATGATTCTCTGTCCTCCACCCTTGTTCTACCAACTCCATCCCCATCTACTGGAGTCTTGATCTGCATATACAACAAAGCATTTCTAAACTAGGGTGTGGAGACATTTCAGGGAAAATGGCTTAGTATAGATGGTAGTATGGTCCAGATAAAATAGTTATTTTTGAAGTAGCAGTAGAGAAGTGAATAGCTGGCCTTTTCTTCATGACCATAATCCATCTAACTAACTTCTTTGATTCTTTTCCTCTTACTAGGTGCTAACTGTTCTTGTTCAACTCTCATTTTTCCTTCAACTATGCTAGTTGCATGAAACCTTAGAGTTCGGTGCAGAGAAGTAGCAACTTTTACTAAGGAGTTCAGAGAACTTTGGAACTGTGGGTTTTTTTTTTTTTTGTTGTTGTTGTTGTTTTTGTTTTTGTGCTCCTTCCCTTCCTCCTTCCGTCCCTCCTTTTCTTTCTCCCTGGCTTGCCCCTCCCTCACCACCCCCTCTTTCTCCCACTCCCCAGATTGCCACGTCCCCACCTAACTGCCTTCCTTGCTAGCACAGGCTCACGCCCTTTCTTCTTCTCTCCCTCCCTAGTCTGTTGACCCGTGCCTCCCTTCCCACTTGCTCCCTCCATCCCTTAGTCCTTTCCTCTGTCTCTCCTTCCTTCCCTTCCTCACTAGCCCAGCTCCCTCCCTCACCACCCTTCCCCATGTCACTTTCTCCTTCTTTACCTCCCTGGCTCTCTCCCTTCTTCTCCCTCTCTTTTGTAGGCTCGACCTGTGGCTTGAGGAGATACTGTATGCTTAATAACCCCCTGTTAAGAATGTCCCTGGCGAACAGAAAGGGTAAGGGAGAGTAGAGGAAATAGAGAAAGAGAGGGAAGGGTACTTCATAGCAAATCTTGGAACCAGGAGCACCCCTCCTCTGGTGGCCAGGACAGAGGGTTCCTACTAAGTCCTGTGGAGGAGGGATGTTTTCCCTTCACAGAATTAAGTACAGAGAGACTTTTTGTAAAGAGAAGTGAGGATATGTGATGAAGAGAGAAGAAAGGAAGGAGTGGCTTGTGAGTAGAGCAGTGGAAGGGAGAGGTTCTTGCCCTGGTATTGCCACACTGGCTTGCTGTGTGAATCTAAACAAGTTACTTCCTTTCTCTGGGCCTCAGTTTCCTTGTTTGCAACACCAAAGGGTTAGTCCAGTCTGTGATCTGAAAATGGAGTGAGAGAGAAAGGTGTGGGAAGAAGAATAAGGTGGGCAGTGAGCTGCAGGTAGGGAAAAGAGTCAGGGGTCTTCCAGCCTTTTTATCGTCTCTTCAAAACCAAGATTCAATCTCCATAGGGCAGAGCATGGGAAGACGCACCCAGGACAGTGATTCCTTTCACCTTTAGCCTGGCCTGGACCTTTCTTGTCCAGGCCCCATGCACATGTGCACGTTCTCCCCCACCTGCAGACCTTTGTCTCTGTTAGGCTCTCTCTGTACCTGTCTGCCTCTCCCTGCTCTCTCCTACTGCCTGGTACCCTGGTGGTACCCCCTCCCAAACATCCTTACTCATTACTTAGACTAGGACACAAAGTGTGGGCTTATTTTCTATCTCTAGCTCCCCTTTCTGTGGGCTGCTTCTCTCCCTCCTCCAGAGCAAGCCTTAGATTTCCCATTCCTGATTCTTACTCATCAGGAGGGCAGATTGCTGCTTCCGAGCCCTGTACCCTATTACATTGCTTCTGGCACTATGAGAATCTACCTCACAAGGCCCTACGCTCTCTGTGGTGGTAGTACAGTTTTGGGGCAGGCCTCTCCTCTCCTTTCTCTGGTTTTGTTTTTCTGATGAGCCATCCAGATCAACCAGAAGCTGGCTCTCAGAGCTACTCTGCGGGTGTATGCCAGGAAGTGTGTTGCCTTTTATCTTTTACCTCTTTCCTCCTCTTCCTGTCATCTCTAAGCAGAGAGGAGAGGGCTGTCTGCCTTGTTGTGCCTGCCTCTCCTTCCTCTTCACCCATAGGAACCCTGTGAACCTTGTGTGGGTGACTTCCTGTACATCTGTGATGGTATTTATCAGCGACATGAGATGCTCACCCTGGAAACCGGCATCCTGAAAACCCTCAAATTTGACATCAACATTCCCACCGCGTACCACTTTCTGCGCAGATATGCTTGGGTAAGAGGGAAGTGGCACATCTTCATTCTTCCACTGCTGAGTTAGTTCCCTGTTTACTCAGAGTGGCTACCTGCATAGTAGGAAAGGGGAAGTGATGACTGGGGACAGGAGAATTTTCTCCTTTGGTCCAACCTCCTAGGTTAAAAGTTGTCAATCTTTATAAAGTACAAGGGGATGGGGCAAGTTGCAGATTTTCATGGTGTGCCTATAAGGTTTTGAGGTGAGGGCAGAGTAAGGGGGGAGAAAAGATTCTTTGATTAGGAAGGGACACATGGGAAGTTTTGGGGGGATGCTGGCAATGTTCTTTTTGTTTTCGTATTGTTATAGGAAAGGTCACATTATAATCATTTGTATTCTACAAGTGTGTGTTGTGTACTTTTCTTTTTGTGCGTTATAGGTTATATATACACATAATATAATATATATGTTATATATTATATATTATATATATTTTTATTATATATATTATATATTTTTACTTATATATATTGTATATTTTTTAATTTATATATTATGTATATTTTTAATTTATATATATGTTATATATATGTTATATATTTTTATATATGTTATATATTTTTATATATGTTATATATTTTTATATATGTTATATATTTTTATATATGTTATATATTTTTATATATGTTATATATTTTTATATATGTTATATATTTTTATATATGTTATATATTTTTATATATGTTATATATTTTTATATATGTTATATATTTTTATATATGTTATATATTTTTATATATGTTATATATTTTTATATATGTTATATATTTTTATATATGTTATATATTTTTATATATGTTATATATTTTTATATATGTTATATATTTTTATATATGTTATATATTTTTATTATATGTACCACATATATATATTTTATATGTACCACATATATATATTTTCATTTGTGCCACATATATATATTTTCATGTGTGCCACATATATATATTTTTATGTGTGCTACATATATATATTTTTATGTGTGCTACATATATATTTTTATGTGTGCTACATATATTTTTTCATGTGTACTACATATATATGTATATATTTTCATGTGTACTACATATATATGTATATATTTTCATGTGTACTCTCTCTATATTTTTTCATGTGTACTCTATTTTTTTGTGTGTGTACTCTCTCTATATATATTCTTTTTCATGTGTACTCTCTATATATTCTTTTTCATGTGTACTCTCTCTCTCTATATTTTTTCATGTGTACTCTCTCTATATATATTTTTCTCATGTGTACTCTCTATATATTTTTCATGTGTACTATGCATATATATTTTTTTCATGTGTACTATATATATATTTTTCATGTGTACTATATATATTTTTCATGTGTACTATATATATATTTTTTTCATGTGTACTATATTTATTATTCATGTGTACTATATATATATATTTTTATGTGTACTATATATATTTTTTCACATGTACTATATATATTTTTTTCACGTGTACTATATATATTGTTTTTACATGTGTACTATATATATTTTTTATGTGTACTATATATATCTTTTTTATGTGTACTATATATATCTTTTTTATGTGTACTATATATATTTTTTTCATGTGTACTATATATATATATTTTCATGTGTACTATATATATATTTTTTTCATGTGTACTATATATATTTTTTTCATGTGTACTATATATATATTTTTTCATGTGTACTATATATATATTATTTTTTCATGTGTACTATATATATTTTTTTCATGTGTACTATATATATATATATATTTTCATGTGTACTATATATATATTTTCATGTGTACTATATATATTTATTTTTTTCATGTGTACTATATATATATTTTTTCATGTGTACTATATATATTTATTTTTTTCATGTGTACTATATATATATTTTTTCATGTCATGTGTACTATATATATTATTTTTCATGTGTACTATATATATATATATTTTCATGTGTACTATATATATATTTTTTCATGTGTACTATATATATTTATTTTTTTCATGTGTACTATATATATATTTTTTCATGTGTACTATATATATTTATTTTTTTCATGTGTACTATATATATATTTTTTCATGTGTACTGTATCTATACATATATTTTTCATGTGTACTATATATATATTTTTTGCATGTGTACTATATATTTTTTTCATGTGTACTATATATATATTTTTTCACGTGTACTATATATATATATTTTTTAATGTGTACTATATATATTTTTATGTGTACTATATATATATTTTTTCATGTGTACTACATATATTTTTTTTCATGTGTACTATATATTTTTTCATGTGTACTATATATATATTTTTTTCATGTGTACTATATATATTTTTTCATGTGTACTATATATATATATTTTTTCATGTGTAGTATATATATATATTTTTTATGTGTACTATATATATATATATATTTTTCATGTGTACTATATATATAAAGCTCAGATAAGAAAAGGGAAGGGGTTGTTTTGGAGCACGGACCACCTTCTAGGGTGGAGCCAGGTATAACAAAGTCACAGTTGGGGACTTCAGCTCTTCAAAGAATGACTTGAACACGAAGGGGAGGTGAGAGGGTACCATCAACACACTTGATAATTCGGTAAAAAACCCTAAAGGTGGCAAATTTCCCTGCTAATTTCAGAATTTTCCCTGAAGAGTCTGTGGTTTTGTGGGTAGGGACCTTAGGGTGAGTCATGGTGGCAGGAGAGGCACACTACTCAAGCAGAGATCCATTTAGTCTTGCGGTGAGATAAATGGAGAGGGTGTCTTCTGCTTGGTGCCAGTTTTCTGATTTGATTGCTGTACCAGTCTTCTTATTGCCTTTAGTGTGTCCGTGCCAGCATGAAGACACTGACCTTGTCCCGCTTCATCTGCGAGATGACCCTGCAGGAGTACGACTATATTCAGGAGAGGGCTTCCAAGCTAGCTGCTGGTTCCTTGCTCCTGGCCCTTTACATGAAGAAGCTCGGACATTGGGTAAACACTTGTGGGAGGGATTCAAAAGCACAGGGTTGGCTGAAGGGGAAGGTGTAAATGAGAGCTGTTTTGGGAAGCTCTTGGTGACAAAACTGTCAGGTACCCACAGTTAGGAATTCTTTAACACCTGGACAGTTTAGGGGCAAGTTTTCTGCGGCAATAGTTTTGAAATATTTTGTTTCATTTTTCTTAGTCACAGTACCTTTTGTTCCAAAGAAAGCTTACCTGTAAGTCCAATATTACAAAACAGATTAATGCAAAGTTATTCCGGTTGTCATGGGGACGGTGGGGGGGGGGGCTACTACTTATCCCTGCCCCATTCTACCCCTGCCCCTTGCAGTCCCCTCAGCAAAGTTGGCACCTGAAGGAGCTCATTGGAAGAGGGTTTGAAAAACACTGACCCAGAGAACAGGGTAGTATAAGCAACTGTCCATGTATATAATGGGGCACTTATTGGCATGACTATAGTGCTCTCCTCTGAAGAGGAAGGCCTCCAAAGCCTTCTACCCCAGTGCAATTAAAATTCATATTTGATACTTTCTCACTTTTATGAAAAGTTGTGCAGAAAAGCAACTTTAGAGAACTTTGAGTTCTTACTGATGTGTAACAAGCAATCGAAGTAGAAAGAGAGTATGCTTTAAATGCAGCCTCCCTGCCCAACTGCTCCTAAGCCCCACCTACCCAGAAATCCTGGAGCCACTACTGATAGGAAAACCTCTGTGTGCTGAGAAAGAACTGCATAAACAGTTGTGAACTTGGACAAGTCATATTGAAATTTCTTGGGACAGAGAAAGTATTCAATAAATGGTAGTGATGATGATGAAAGAAAATAAACAGTAATAATGGCTAGCATTTATTGAGTGCTTAGACAGTGACCGAAGCACTTTGTGTATTAATTCATTTAATCTTCACAACAACCCTACATGATCAATAGTATTATCATTATTTTACAGATAAGAAATAGCTTCTCATGTTTACACAGCTAATGAGAGGTGGAGCTAGGCTTTGGGAACTAGGAGTGGTGTTCCAAATCCAAACCTACTGTATAATCAGAATGGGTGTGGCCATATCTCTGGAGCTCTGGTCCTGGAGGCCCCATGCTGAGCCAGGCTTTGTCCCTTGCATCCTGCAGAAGTTCAATGGGTCTCCAGGGAGACATTTGAGGGGTCCAGCGCAGCAAACTGTATGCCAACTAGGATAAAAATATTTCAGTGTTTTAACACTTGGTGGCTAAACCGTGAATATTGGCTAATATCCCTAATCTGAACTTGGGTAGTCTGGCTCTACAGTCCTCTGTGTTATGTATACTGCTTTTCCTATAGATAAGGAAGCTTCACAGAAAAGGTGACTTTTGAGTTAGGTCTTGAAAGATGAGTAGGAATTCGTGAGAGCAGACATTTTGGGTAGAAAGAGCAATAATCAAAAAGACATGAAAGCACTAAGGAAGGAGAATGATGTGTTCAGGGCAGAATAAGACATCTCCTATGGATAGAGCAGAGGGAATATTAATAGGGAGTGGTGAGAGAAGAGACCAGAATGGCAAGTTGTGGTCAGATTATGAAAGGACCTTATATGCTATACTGAGAGACTCACTTTATACTAAGGCATCGAAGGTTGTTTTTTTTTTTTTTTTTTTTAGGCAGCAGAGGGAATATTAATAGGGAGTGGTGAGAGAAGAGACCAGAATGGCAAGTTGTGGTCAGATTATGAAAGGACCTTATATGCTATACTGAGAGACTCACTTTATACTAAGGCATCGAAGGTTTTTTTTTTTTTTTTTTTTTTTAGGCAGGGAAGTGACATACTCCTGTTTGTATTCTGGAAATAGTACTGGCACAGTAGTATAGAAGGTATATTAGATGAGAGAATGTATAAAAGTGGGAACACCAGCAAGAAAGCTGTTGTAACAGTCAAGGTAAAGCATCGAGGGCCTGAACTGACAAAGTGGCAGTGGGGCTCTTTAATCTTAATTTAACAGACCCAATATACTGTGTTACCCTAGTGTGTTACTCTCCTGCTCAGCATGCCAGTGACTGCCCTATGTGGCATTGGTTTCCAAACAGTATTTGGGGAGCCCTGGGTTTCCTGCAGAAATGTCCCAGGGGCTATGTAAAAGGTAAAGGGATCCAAATTGGTGGGCTTCTTAGCCCCTACCCCTACTTCTGGGTAAGATATTTGGGCTTCCAGGTAAGATACTTATAAAAAAAAGGAGTGCAGGGAAAATAATTTGACATTTTTAGAAAACCACTGGATTATAGAATAAATCCTCTTCCTTTCTCTGCCTGTTGAGCTCCCACTTGACTTTCAACACCCACTGCAGACTTCTCCTCCTCTGAAATTTTCTGTGACTCTCTCAGCTGGAGTTCATGGGTCCGGCTGCTTTCCATGCTCACTTCCATCATAGCACTTCCCACATGTTTTGTAACTCTCTGTTTGCATGTCTGTCTCCTCCACTGGACTACAGACTCCTCAAGGGCAGGTGCCTTATTCATCTTTGTATTCCCAGCCTCCAACATAGGGCTTGGTAATGTTAATCTAGCTAGCATTGTTTGGGTACTTACTCTGTGTTAGACTCTATTCTATGTGAGATATATACACAGTTATTTAACTCTATGATGGAATTACTGTAATGATCTCCATTTGGCATATTTAACTAAGAGGCTAAATAACTGGCTTAAGGCCATGCTGTTGGTGGAGCTGGAATTCGATCTGAAGCATTGTGCTTCCAGAACTTTTGCTGTTAAACATTGCTGTATTGCTTCTGCCCCATGATAGGCATCCTTAGAGTTGAATGAGAAAATGAATATATAGAATGATATCTGTTAGAGCCACAGGGGAGGAACAGCCTTAAGTTCCTGTTGGCTGTTGAGATGGAACTTCAAGTTTGTTCTAGGGTTGGCCTAGCCATTGGCTCTGGACCTGAGAGTGAGTAAATTACAAAATCAGTTCTGTTCCTTAGGATTTTGGTGGATTTCAGCTTATATGAACACTTGTGACCAGGGCTAATATATAACTGGTACATATGAATATAGCCATCCTTGTAGTTTGTGGCTTAAACCTATTCTTCTAGATAGTACCCTGTAACAATTGGTCAGTATCTGTTCTGGATGAGTCTTGGAATGTTTTGAATATCATTCCTGTCTATATTGTGGGTGGGAAGTTTAGACTTGGTATAGCAGAGATGGAGGGAAGGGTATGGTTCTTGTAGTAGAAGTTACTATTCATGCTGCTTCTTTCAGGCCCCTGCCCTGGAGTATTATAGTGGCTACAAGACCTCTGAGCTTCACCCCTTGGTCAGGCAGCTGAACATCCTGCTGACTTTCCATTCTTGCAGTAGTCTCAAGACTGTGTATTCCAAGTATTCTCAGCAGTAAGTATCAAGCCCTGGTTGGGTTGGATTTATGCTCATTCATGGGGAAGCTTTAAAACACTAAGCTTAGACTAGCCTCTCTTAAGAGAAAAGGATTCAGAGACTTTCTACCTTTTCTACTCTAGGGTTAAAGCAAAATAGAGAACCAAGGGCTCTATGTCTCACTTGTTCCATAATGGCTGTTTGGCTCTGGTCTATTTTACACTGAGCATATCCCTCTTCCTTTTGCAGTGTCTTTTTTGAAGTCACCAAAATCCCCCCCTTGGACATGTTGAAGCTGGAGGAGATTTTGAATTGCTAATTGTGAGGCTGAGGGCCTGGTACTCAGACAGCAGCCACCAGGGCCAGGCAGGCATGTTAACAGGCTATATTTATTCCATGCTTGAATTTGTCGTTTGATCACTATTCTTTACTTTTCCTCTCTGTTTATATTTTCCCAAACTGATAATGTTGTAAATATTTAAATTGTTTTTATAAAAGAGAAGAAATTATCATATTTGACTAGAAACTTAATAAAAAAATTAACGATTGTTGTTACATCTCACCTTCCTTCTTTTTGCTCAGGACCCCCATGCACAGCCCAAGAAACTCTTTTCCTGCATAGTAAAGGGCTGTGCTCCAGCATTTAGCTTATCCAATTTCCTCCTCTGGAGGCTTTCTTCTCATGAAAAAAGGAATTGAGCTAAGTGTGAATTTCATAGATGGGTCTGTAGGAGAAAGGTCCTGGGGGGTGGCACTTAGTCCAAGGAGAAAGACCCCTACCCTACAGGCGGGGCTCAGTGTTCAGAGCTGGGGCAGCTGGTAGTATAGGGTAATACCCTTTAGTTCCAACTTCAGGTTGCTTGCTTTTCTTTGCCTCTTCCTCTATGATGAAAAGATGCGGATCAGTATTTTAACCCAAATGTAGCCCTACTTTCATAATTCAGCAGCTTTCTGTAGTCTAAATTTGAAAAAAACTACTTGGAGTGGTGTGTAGAAATCCTTTTTGGCTCTTATCTTCTACCAAGAGAAGAAATTTCTACCTGTGACAGAAGCAAGATGTCCCGTAAATACAAGTCCAATCACCCACTTGTCCAATCTCTCACTTATTTATTTATTTTATTGGTTATGAATATTCATGGAGTACAAAGTTTATAAAGCCTTACGAAGTTCTGCTCTCTTTCTTTCTATCCTATCTTTGGGATGATGTGTACTGGGACAATTATTTAAGTTGTTAATAAAGGAATTAAACATTTTTCATGACAGATGTTCAAGAGCTACTGCCTCATTCCCACCTGTAGGACCTCCCCACAATCAAGCAAGCAATATCTGCCACAGCAGGAGACCTCCAGGACTCTATTCTAGTATTGTAGCTGGCAACTTTCCTGATAGGTCTGTGGCCATACGTTACCACTTGTAAAATATTTTGAATATCAGTCCTGGGAGGAGACATCTGTTGGAGGGTATAATAAATGAAGAAGCTATGAGGAAAATACCTCCCCAATTCTGTCCCAAGACTTCCCATGCTACTCTGTTCACATCACTTTTTCTGATGAGTTGGGGACAGGAGGGTGAGCATGCCAAGCCCTTAGGTGTCTCAGTGCTTTATTTCCCTTTGAATCAGTTTTCCATTTTTCCCAACTTGCTTTGCCTTGGAGACCACACATTATTTGGTTCCCTCCTTTCCTGTTCCACTGGTTGCAACATGAACAAAGGGTACAGCCAGAGAGGTCCAACCTGCTTGGCAGTAATTCTGTCAACACAGCCAACTTTGCATAAATGTGCTAAAAGCACTGGGCTGGAAGCCAACTTGCAACTCTCCAGCTTCACTAAAAAGTGTCTTGTACTGTGCTTTTCAATTCTGGAGCTTCACAACAGGGGAAACGATTAACCAGTTGAATTATTTCCCCCCTTTTTTCCACTACCGTTTTTGGGGATGTTGATGAAACCATTATTTTTGTTGTTGCAAATGCCTTAAAATTTATTTTATAATACTCATCACTACTTCAAAATTAAAATAGCTATTAGAATTGGATATTGTTATTTAGTGCCTTATTAAAGAAGTACATCTACTTCTTTATGAAATTTGTTTTTATATTTTGATGACTTTAGTTCAATTAACTGGTTTTCTTTGTAACCTTATGTATTTTAACAATTGTATTAAGACATAATTCACCCTACAGTTCACCCGTTTGAAGTGTACAATTCAGTGGTTTTTAGTATATTCACAGAGTTGTACATACATCACTGCAATCTAATTTTGGAACATTTTCATTCCAAAAAGAAACTCCAGACCTATTAGCAGTCAGTGTCCATCCCCTATCTCCCACCCCTGCAAACCCTAAGCAACCGCTAATTTATTTTCTCTCTATAGATTTTGGACATTTCATATAAATTGAGTCATACAGTGTGTGGTCTTTTGTGTCTGGCTTCTTTCACTTAGCATAGTGTTTTCAAGGTTCATTTATGTTGTAGCATGTATCACTACTTAATTTCTTTGGATTGCCAAATAATTTTCCATTGTATGGACAAACATACAGTTTGTTTATCCAGTCATTTGGTGGAAATTTGGGTTGTTTCCACTTTTTGGATACTGTGAATAATTCTGCTATGAACATTCATGTACAAGTTTTTGTGTGGACATGTTTTATTTTCACATTCCCTTGGGTATATACTTGGGAGTGGAATTGCTGGGTTGTATGGTAACTCTATGTTTAACCATTTGAAGAACTGACAGACTGTTTTACAACATGGCTGCTTCATTTTACATTCCCATCAGTAGTGTATGAGGGTTCTAAATTCTCCAATACTTGTTATCTTTTAAAAAAAATTATTATAGCCATCCTAGTGAGTGTGAAATGGTATCTTATTGTGATTTTGATTTGCATTTCCCTAACAGTTAATGATGTTGAGTATGTTTTCATGTGCTTATTAACCATTTGTGTATCCTCTTTGGAGAAATATCTAACTAAATCCATTGTCCATTTTTAATTGGGTTATTTGTGTCTTTATTATTGAGTGGTAAGAGTTCTTTATATATTCTGGATATATATGATTTGCAAATATTTTTTCTGATTATACGAATTGCCTTCTTTCTTCATGGTGTTATTTGAAGCAGAAAAATTTTTAATTTTGATCAAGTCTAATATATCTGTTTTTTGAACATTTTTTACTTTTGGTGTCATAGCTAAGAAACCATTGCCTAATCCAAGTTTGTAGAGATGTATCTTTGTGTTTTCTTCTAAGTTTTATACTTTTAGCCTTTACATTTAGGTTTTAAATCTATTTTGAGTTAATTTTTGTGCATGGTGTGAGGTAGGGAGTTCAGCTTCATTCTTTTACATGTTTATAGTCAGTTGTCCCAGCATCATTTACTGGAAAACTCTATTTTCCCCCACTTAATTATTTTGGCACTGTTGTTGAAAATCAACTGTAAATATGAGATCTCATTTCTGGATTTTCAATTCTATTCCATTTACCTATATGATGTCTATCCTTATGCCAGTACCATAATGTTTTCTTTTAAGATTTTTTTAAATTGACAAAGATTGTATTATTATAGCTCTGCAGGTAAGTTTTAAAATCAGGAAATGTTAAAACTCCTTAAAGAAAACATAGGGGAAACACTCTAGGAAGTAGGAGTGGGTACAGACTTCATGAATATGACCCCAAAAGCACAGGCAACCAAAGGAAAAATAAACAAATGGGATTATATCAAACTACAAAGCTTCTGCACAGCAAAAGAAACAATCAAGGATGAAAAGACAACCAACAGAGTGGGAGAAAGTATTTGCAAAATATACATCTGACAAAGGATTAATATCCAGAATATACAAGGAACTCAAACAACTTTACAGCAAAATACAACCCAATTAGAAAATGGGCAAAGAAGCTGAATAGGCATTTCTCAAAGGAAGATATATGAATGGCCAACAGACACATGAAAAAAATGCTCAACATCACTCAGCATTTGGGAAATGCAAATCAAAACCACTTTGAGATACCATCTCACTCCAGTTAGGATGGCTAATATCCAAAAGACTGAGAATGATAAATGCTGGTGAGGTTGTGGAGAAGAAAAGAACTCTGACACTGGTGGGAGTGCAAAATGGTGCAGTCTTTATGGAAAATGGTATGTAGGTTCCTCAAACAATTACAGAGCTACGATATGACCCAGCTATTCCACCGCTGGGAATATACCCAGAGGAGTGGAAATCATCGCGCCGAAGGGATACCTGTACTCCCATGTTTATTGCAGCACTATATACAATAGTCAAGAGTTGGAACCAGCCCAAATGTCCGTCATCAGACGAGTGGGTAAGGAAACTGTGGTATATCTACACAATGGAATACTACTCTACTATAAAAAAGAATGAAATACTACTATTTGCAACAACATGGATGGACTTAGAGAAAGTTAAGTGAAACAAGTCAGGCACAGAAAGAAATACCACATGTTCTCACTTATTTGTGAGAGCTAAAAATAAATATACAAATAAAGGGTGAGGGGAAGAAGACACAACAATCACAGCAATTCCTTGAACTTAAGTGAACAGATATGGTGTAGTGGCGGGGGGGAGAGAAGGAAGGGGAAAAGAGGATCAGGTAAAGGGACATAAAAATCAGCTACAATGTATACTGAGAAGTTAAAATAAAAAAAATCTTAGAAGTCATCTTCAAAAAAAAAACTTGGGAAATATGGATAAGTATTTAATAGATGTGTCAGAGCAATTGAAGAAAAATTGCAGTAGGTACATAGAAAACTAAGTTAAATTTTTGAAAAGAGGTAATCATTAGCTTCAGGTAAAACAAATGATTGTATAAAAAATGGAAACAGTCATAGGATATTTCTTGGTTCAGCCAAGGCCATTCATGCAAATATGTTCAATCAGATACAAGGAGAGACTGAAAGGGGTGTGTGTATCAGTGTGTGGTATAAGGTAATTAAATCTTCATATTTATCTTCACACACAAAAAGAAATTGAACCCTACAATTTTTTTCTCTTCAATATTATTTTGGTTATTCTGGGTTTCTTGCATTTCCATATGAATTTTAGCATCAGCTTGTCAATCTCTGAAATTAAAGTCAGCTGAGATTTTGATAGGGATTGTGTCAAATTTGTAGGTCAATTTGGGGAGTATTGTCATCTTAACCATATTAAATCTTCCAATCTGTGAACATGAGATGTCTTTCCTTTTATTAAATCTTTAATTCTTTTCAGCAATGTTTTGTAGAATATAGATTTTATATTTATTTTGCTATCTTTATTAAGTATTTTATTTTTTGATGGAGCCATCAGTCTTGGGTTACTTTCAATTTCTTACTTCATTCCCTATGAACATATGTTTTACCTCTGCACCTGTCTCAAGTATCTATATTTTCTGTCTTAGAGGATGGACTGACCCACCTCCTATTCAAGGCAACTCATCTACCTTGGGACTTTTCTTCATCAATTTTCCTCACTTTTCTCAGTCTTCTTGCTTTTCCCTGCCTTCATTCCTGCACCTTTATTCTCTTCCTCTTTTCTAGTCACTTCTAGCTTAAAAACATGCTCAAA